TAAACAAGAAAAAGCATACAATTTTCCAAACAAATACTAAAAAATCACAGAAAAAGCTTATTGACAAATATCAACTTATATTGAATGTGTTGTGGAGTTAAAGAAGAGAAAAATTTTAAAACATCGTTTTAAAAAAAAAGTTTTTATTCACAGCCATTAATACTTTTAAAGTTAGAATTCATTAAAAAAAAAGTCTCACTTAAGATTTTTAATTTTCAAATAAAAACTTTTATCAGTTTTATGTCAATAGTTATTACTAGTAAATGAATATCAAGTATATATATATATATATATATATATATATATATATATATATATATATATATATATATATATATATATATATATATATATATATAAACTAAATATATAAAATAATAAAAAAAATATATATAAAATAAAACTATTATGCTCCATAAGAAATATCCTCATTAACTACTGTGTTATTATTATAGTTTGGTTTTTAGAATATAAACTTATTTTCAGAGTTTCTTCGTTGCGGCATTCATACTAGCTTCAGCTATGTAAATGTTATAACTTCTTTGTTTAACTAATTTAAAAATTTTATTTATGGGATCAAACATGTTCAATAAACCACAAAACTTTTTAATACTACGGTATTCTTTACCCATTTCTCAAAAAACTAATATTCTACATTAATAAACATTAAAAATTCAGTTCTGCCGGTTTGTTTATAATTTTGGTAGAATAAAACTTCTGAATAAAATTAGGAGAAAGTTTTATAACCCATATTGTTTTGAGCATCATAAAAATTTAGAACTTAAAAGTTACATTTTAAAAAGTTTTTAATAGCTAACAATGACAGCCATTATTCCATCTCAAATGATGGTGTTCATTAATATATGTAGGAGTCGTTTGTAACTCTGTTTCTCTAAATTCCTTAAAGTTAAATAAAACTTCAGGTATAGATGACATATATTGTAGGATAGTGGCAAATATCTTTACAACGATATATAAACCTATATTAGAATTTTTTAAGTCTTCGATTAAAGCAGGAGTTGCACCGGTCAAATTAAAAGTGGCTAAAGTAGTACCAATATTTAAAACAGGTCAATCATACTGAATTAATAATTATAGACCTTGGTACTTCCTACCTTTTTTAAGCTTCTCGAAAGAGTATTCTATAACAGATTGTATTAATATTTAATCCTAAATAAAAAGCAATTTGGTTTCTAAAAACAATATTCAACTGAACTCGCAACACTTGATCTAGTTACCAAAATAAGTGGTTCTTTTGATAAAAAAACAGTATGTTCTAGGCAACTTTATAGACCTGTCAAAAGCGTTTGAGACTGTAAATCATAATATCTTACTTACAAAAATGGAAAAGTAAAGGATAAAAAACAAAAACCTTGACTGATCTAAGCAACAGACAACAATATATTTTTTAGATAATTTTAAACACTCAAAACTAATAAGAGTTAAGTGCAGTGTCCCCAAGGTTCCATTCTTGGACTCTTCTGTTTCTTCTATATATTAACGGCCTTACAAAAGCCTCGGAAAAACTTGACGTAATTATGTTTGCCGATGATACAAACTTATTTTATTTATCGAGCTCCATCAAACACCTTTATGAATGTATAAACAAAGAGCTTAAAAAATTAAACATATAGTTGAAATTAAATAAGTTATCACTTTATATAAAAAAAACAAAATATATATTTTCTTATTCTGAAAAACAAAAAAATAATATATCAGCTATCCTTCCATCACCAAAAATAGATAAGGTAAACATTGAAAGAACTGAAACAACTAAATTTTTTGGAACTTATTGACGAAAATATATCTTGGAGAGCCCATATAAATACAATAAATACCAAAATTTAAAAAATATTAGGATACTTTACAAAATAAAACCTATGTATCCCAACATAATTACACAAATCTAAATTGAGTACTACATAAGTCAAAATTATGCATCAAGTTTATAATAAAGATTATAATAATCCAGCTCTACAAGAACTCATTATTCTACATGTGATTTTTTCTACATGATTTAATTTAGAAATCTATTCTCTACCATCTGCAGTTTGTTCAACATGTAAAAAATGTCTCCATTAAAAAAAGGTTAGGCAAAAGTTCGTTATTAATCAGGATTTATTGACGATAAATGAAAATGTAAATATATACAAACTTATATAAAATTCAATGTTAAAAAATTTTGGACTAAAAGGATTATTTCTCAAAACATTGAAATTTGTGGAATATTTATAGAAGATCACTACATAAACGATGTAGATTAAAGAATATTTTAATCTAAACTCAAAGCATATAAATGTTTCGCGTTTACTCTTTGTTTGAAAGTTAGTATCTAAAACACCAAAAAAGTCTGGATCTGCCAAGGAGTCAAATTTTCTTCTGCAGGGTGATTATTTTAAAAAGCGTATAAATTCCAAAAAGAAACGCTTGTTACTTTGTTTCAATGGAATAAATCTCATGCAGTAAGCTCACCAGTAATTTACTATATGTGAATATTTGTGTTGTCTGAAGCTCTGGCGCGGTAATGGTTTAATCAAATTTTACTTTATGTATGCTTATGTTCTGCCTAATCCTCTGGCGCAATTTTGCTCACCTATCAGTTACAATATGTATGTTTGTATTGTGTTTAAAATTTCTACTAGTTACTCTAACATTCAAAATCTACGTTGATATTCTGGTAGATGTAATGTTTTTCCTAATGATTTTACAAAATATTCCCAATAATGTTTTGAAATTCATCTTGCAGGAAGTAATTACTTTTAATTACACCAGATCAGACCTGTTTTAAGATCATCACAACCTTTCTTGCTGCTGGTATCAATAAACCCAGTACTACCTACCCCAATAATTGCTGTCTCGTAGGGTCTGTTTTTCTACGCCAAAGTTAGGAAAAACAATTCCGACTTAAAAATTACCTCCTTCGCGGTTTTTTATGGAAGAAAGTCTAAAGATGATGTCAATAAAAATACTCATAGCAGGCAGGAATTAACTGCATCCAGCTACTATCTTGTAGAAGGCCCCTGAGGCAGAGACTTTAGAGGTAATCAGAATAACTCTGTCGACCAGCCTCAGACCTTTTCTTCATTTATTAGGTTGGCTTATATCTAAAGCTGTGTTACATTGCTTCCTTCTTAAGATGATAAATGCTAAATGTTTTTGACTCAACACAAAGATTTCTGATTTTGCCGCTCTTCCTGTTATTTCCTTATAATGTTGCAGCTCTAAAACTCAGTTTAATAGATCTGAGGCCGATTGGTAGTAATTTTCCCAAATTCTGTGATAGCTATCAGAGAGGTTGATTTCATCAACAGCTAAAAAATATCAGAGTATTAATAGTGTCATGTTGCGCATAAATGTTTTACTGTTAATGTTTTAGGTATGCATTGTCGAGGCAACATAAGAAGTTCTAAATTTCGTCTTTAGGTTACATATTAGGGTTTAGATAACTGCCTATTTCAGTGTTTAAGATCTCGTGCTCTATTTATGAATGAGTCAAGTTTTTTTAAACTCATCATGCTCAAAATAAACCAAAAAATTTACATAAAACATCATCCTCACCATCTAACAGTTTATTTAAATCTTTCGTAAATATTTTATCTCTTGCTAAAATTACTAGACATTCTTTCTTGCGGCACTAACTTAAATTCCGCTGTTCCTTCTTTAGATCTCAGTGTTAATGGGTACTGTACTTTCATTTGCAAAAACTGCAATGTTCAAATGCTTATCTCGGAGGTATACTTATGCATCAGTTCACTTATGTGTTGAAAATTTAGGTTTGAATCATCTGGTTTTTTTTTTAATGTCTTTACTACTATCTTGCAAAAAGAAAACTGATCTTGCAAAAAAAATTAGATACGATGTTGTAATTTCTAACTTTGCTGCAAAAAAAGCTCGTAAAGTCTTGATATAACGTCAGACAAACTTGTTACCAAATTCAGAAATCTTTATTTCTTTGTTGTGTTTAATTGTTTCATTTGTGAACTGTAAAAAAAAGTTTTAAGTTATTTTGTAAATACTAGAAATAGTTGCTTTATTTTTCTTATTGATTTTATTTTGATGGCGGTTAGAGTTGCCTCTTTAACCATCCAGTAAATTTTTTTTATAATATACCCCGGGTATCATAAAGTCCCATCTCGCGCCCATGGATGTAAAAGAAATAACTTTGCTTTTGTTTTCCTCCTAGATTTCTAATGGAACCCAGTCTATTTCAATAAATGATATTAAATCACTTAATGTTGTTGTAAAGTTAATTTTTTAATGGTGTTCCACAAAACCTGTTTTGACAACCCTTACTTTTTTTTTATCGAGAATCTAGGGGCGTATTCTCATTTTTCTGTTAAACTTAACGGAGCCTCAGTTAAGAAAAACTTTTTTAACTCTATTCCCAGTGGGCACAGGACGTAAAAAAGACGTCCTTAGGACGTTCAAATCGCGTCCGTCCGTCACATTAAAATTCTAAACGTCTTTTGAACGTCTTATTCGCGTCCAATAATTTTTTCGTCCAAAAAATATCCAGAATGCTTTATTAACACGTTGACCGCCTTGCCTTTTTTTGAAAAAATCACATTGCCAAATAATCTTTTTTTTTTTGAATATTTCGTGTATACATATGTATACACAAATAAGTCAAAGAGGAGTTTTTTTTTTTTTAATAATTTTTAGTTTTTGTTTGAACATTCGAACAATAATTTTCTCAAAACCTAAACTATTTAACTTTTAAATATTTAAAAATATATTTTTCCAAAATGTTCCAGAACCTTCCAGCACGCCGATAAACGGGTATATAAACCTAGCGTTTTCTGCTAAACACCAGTTCAGCAATTGTATGGACTTTAAATATTGTTGAATAAATAATTGTGATCGACTGAAAGAAAACTTGACTGTCGAAACTTAACAGTTTTCAACTTTTTTCCTCAAATACTTGATTGATATTACTAATTTTTTGATACAATCGTAAATTTTTATTATTTTCTAGCTATTAATTTCTCTTATTTATTAGAATGGCTGATGATAATATTGAATTAAACGATAGCTTTGAAAGGTTGCTGTTACAAAGTGATGACGAACATGATTCTGATTTAATGGAAACAATTCAACAGGACGAATCTGATGAATCCGATAGTGCTGATAGTGAATCAACTGATGGTGGTAGTGATGATGGTTCAGAAGAATGGTCGAAAAATGTGCAGAAACCTTTAAGATGGGATTTTGATGACGGAACTGCGGGCATGAATATGGATATGGTAATGGATTGCAAAGAACCTGTCGATTACTATAACTTATTTATGAACAACGAACTTATCGATTTTATTGTGGAAGAAACTAATCGTTATGGACCAACAAAGGATTCAAACTATTTGCCGACAAATAATATGGAAATGCGAAAATTTATGGCTATCATTTTGCAAATGGGATATGTTGTTCTGCCTAAACTCGATGATTATTGGTCCTCTGACCCTGCTATTGGCGGTAAAGCAATATGTGGAGGTGTAATGACAAGGAAAAGATTTTATTCTTTGATGAGATCCCTCCACTTCGCTGACAATGACAACAATAATGGATCAAAATTATATAAAATAGAAAAATTTGTCAACTTGTTCATTGCCAGATGTCAACACTTACTGGTTCCAGGCAGAGATATATGCATTGACGGCAGACTTCGATTTCGTATGTATATTCCTAGTAAAAGGCATAAATATGGCATCAAAATCTTTAAATTGTGTAGCAACAACGGATACACTTATAATTTATCAATTTATGCCGGTAAAGAGGACCAGCCAAGATATGGTTCTGTGGCAGAACGTGTAGTTTTAAAACTAATGGAAAACCTTCTTGGACATGGCAGAATTCTGTATACAGATAACTGGTATACAAGTATGAATTTGGCGAAATCTTTATTGGAAAACAAGACAAACTTAGTTGGGACGGCCAGAAAAAATAGAATTGGATTTCCAAAACACGTAACTTCTCTGAAATTGAAGAAAGGTGATTATGTTGCAGAACAAAATGGTGATGGTATTATGATTTTAAAATGGAAAGATAAAAGAGAAGTTATAATGCTTTCATCTATTCACGATGGTAGCATTACGGAGAGAGGAAAACCTGCTGTTATCGTAGATTACAATAAAGGGAAATCGTTTAACGATCTATCTGACCAATTGGGCTCTTATTGTCCATACGTACGTAAAACAATGAAATGGTACCTCAGAATCTTTTTTCATATAATTACTCAAGTTTCCATTGTTAATGCTCTGCATCTTTATTAATTACATAGCGGAAAAAATATCAAAATTGTACAATTCAAAAGAGATATTGTCTCATCAATTTTGCAACTAAAAAAGCCAACATCTTCTGGACGAAAACATCAACTTGAAAAAGAACCAGGAGAAGGAACTATTCGAAAACGACGTTGTACTGAATGCTACAACAAATTATCAAAAGAATTTTGTGCCACAATTGCCAGGAATCGTGCTAGTCAAATTAAGACAAGATGTGATAATTGTTTAAAACCTTTTTGTTTAGCTTGTTTTCAAAAATGTCATACTAAATGTTGATTTTATTGATTATGTTGATTTTATTTTTTTGTTATAACGGTTTTTTTTAATTCTAATGTTATTTTCTGTTTTATTTTTTTTAAATAAAGTTATCTTTTACCACAGTGTTTTTTATAATTTGAACGAAGTTTTTTTTCTTAAAACGCTATCTATTTAAACGCCATTAAATTTTAAGAATTGATAAATATAAAGAAACAATTGGAAACAAGTAAAAATTAGAATACTTAAAATTAACAAAAATAAATTTACTATCAAAATCGTGTATCCATATGGATACACGACTTGAAGAAACGAGAGTTTACGCGTGTATACATATGGATACACGATGCGGTCAACGTGTTAAATAAAAAAAAATCAGTTAAATCACGCAAGCGCTAAAACTTCATAAAATTTTTAAGTAACGCATTTTTTATAAAGTTTTTTTTCAATTACAAAAGAAGTCTTTTTACGACAACTAATAGACACGTTCCATCTTATTTTTGTTTTTGTTATCAATTGAAAATTGTGGTAATATTAATACAGTTAATGAAATTTTTACAAATAATGAAAGAAACGGTTTAAAACTGAATATATGCTATACTATGTATATATATACTTGATATACTATTAGTATAGTATTGCTATATCAAGAACCAAGTTCTAACAATAAGATTTAGACATCTCATGCAGAATCGAATTTTTCAATAGGGAAACCTGTTAATGATCATGGAACAATTATACTAATAATTCTTTGAATTCAATGTCTTTACTCGACAACATTATGCTATTTTATAATGGAACCAGTACATTAGTTAATGATCTTCTTGAAATATTGCTAAATCAAGGTTTGGAACTTCCCAAAGATTCAAGGAGAATTTTAAAAGCACCTTTTGAAAAGTGACTTATAGACAGGTTCTTGCTAATTTATATATATTTTTAAACATTTAATTACTTGAGAATCGTATTAATATTGATACATATATTCAAATTGATACAGATATTGAAATAAATAGTTAAAAACTGGGTATAAGATATACTATATATATATATATATATATATATATATATATATATATATATATATATATATATATATATATATATATATTTATATATATATATATATATATATATATATATATATATATATATATATATATATATATATATATATATATATATATATATACACACATATATATATATGTATATATATATATATATATATATATATATATATACACACATATATATATATGTATATATATATATATATATATATATATATATATATATATATATCAAGTATATACTTGACACTTGATATAGTATTTCAAGTATAATAATTGATATACTATATCAAGAACCAAGTTCTGACTGTTTGAAAGACTTAGAAATCGCAGAATCTCATGTATAGTCATATTTTTCAAAAGGAAAACCTATTAATAATACAGAGAGTTTATGGTGATAATTCAATATAATTCAATATCTTTAATTAACAACTTTTAGATTGTTCTATTCAAAATAATTGGACCTTTACATTAGTTAATGAACTTTTTGAAATATTACAATACCAAGTTTTGGAGCTTTGCTAATAACCAATTACTTAACTTTAGTAATTAGTTATTAGTGAAGTTCAAAAGTTTTGACTAAAAAATAAGTCTAATTGAAAAAGTTAAACCAGTCATAACAGTTATATAAGAGACAGGAGGGTAGAAAATTTCCTTTACTCTAAAGGAAATTTTCTACACACCTGTCTCTTATATAACTGTATTATCATATGAATAACCACTATATCACATGTTGGAATGTTATTGGCAATTTACTAAGTAACCGATGAGAAACACTCCTTAATTTCTCGTTTTTTTTTATCATCTAGGAAATTTTATTAAAGTAAATGGATTATACTTATTATTAAAGAAATTATATAGTCCTTTGATTGATTGCAAACCTATATTTCTATTGTATATATATATATATATATATATATATATATATATATATATATATATATATATATATATATATATATATATATATATATATATATATATATATATATATATATATATATATATATATGTATACACACAACCCTTGGAATTAAGAAAAAAAAGGTTGACAATAATTTGTCGACATCAATCAAAAAAGTGATTCAAAAGTCTTACCATTAAACATAGAAACAAGGTCAGCATTATTTGTTGACCTCAAACACTTTTAGGTTGGCATTGCTGCATGCCGACCCTAATTTCAAAGGTTATGTATATGTATAAATATATATATATATATATATATATATATATATATATATATATATATATATATATATATATATATATATATATGTGTGAGTATAAAAGTAATATGGTAATTTATAATAATTTATCTGTTTTTATTTTAAATTTATTGAAAAAAATAAGATTCTGTTTTCAATGTAGTTATTTTCTCCTTAATTCTGCTATTTTTTCTTTCAAAAAATTGACTTTCGTGACCAAATCTTTTTAAATAATAGAAAAATGTCTCCTTAAAATCCTGACTTATAGCGTCAGTTTTATTAGTAAAAATACAAAATATATGTCAAATAAAATAAAAATGAGTTTTGCTAAAATTTAAAATTATTAGAATTAGTTAAAATTTAGAACTATTAGTTATTATTAGTTAAAATTAGTAGAGTTTGTAGTATTAGTTAAAGTTTAGAAATAGATAGTGTGAAACATCAATTAGATACAATATAAAGTTGAACAGGGGGAAAAAAAAAAAAAATGCTAATGCTAAAAAAAAACACTTGTAAGAATATTTTTTACTTTATCCATAAGTTTTATTTACTTGTTAATTAAGATTTTATTTTTAGGAGCGTCAACTACGTCAAGTGTCAGTTGATATATATATGTTTTGGTCAAATACATCTTTGTATTTGGTAATAATGTTACATTTTTGTTTTGTATTTCAAAAACTCATATTGCATTTATTTAAATATGCATTTAGGAATCTAGAATTGACGTGTTTGTAGTTTTTGTATCTAATTTTGTTAGAAATTTTATTTGATTAAATGTATTTAACTCTAAAGTTCATTTTTATTTTTGCCTTCGGTTTTAAAAAAATAGAACAAGGTTTTGGCTATAGTTCATTTTATGTAATGGTTAATGTAATATAATTTATTTTATGTAATATGCCTAATGAATTTTTATTAGTAAAAACTTCTTTAATTCATTCAGCTCCTCCAAAATTTGAAAGTCTGTGATTCAAAATTTCGCTTTTCCCAAAACAAAGTTAAAGAAAATATATGAAGTCAATGATAAATCTTAAAGTTTTACAAAGAGTAATGTAAGTAATATTTTTTCTTCTAATAACTATCTTGGAAGTTATTTTAACTATTTAGGCCTTTTATCTTTATAAATTAATTTTTTTAATACTTCTCAATACTCAAAATAGGTACCTAGTCAATTCAGCAAGAAAAAAAGAACATTTAAGAATTTCCTTTCAAAAGATGTAGCTAGTAAAATTTATATATAGCTATAAAAAATTTTATATAGCTAGTAAAAGTTATCTTCTTCATATCCTGTAACTTCAGGGGTTCTTCAAGGTTCAATCCTTGGCCCTATACTCTTTTTAATTTACATTAACTATCTTCCAGATAATATCACATCTAAGGTGGCATTGTTCGCTGACGACACTACTATTTATTCTTGTCATGATAAGAAGCCTACTCTCTCTGATTGCTTGGAGGGGGTATCTGAGCTTGAAAAGGATCTCACCTCTGCTACAGCATGTGGCTCACAATGGCTGGTGAACTTTATTTCAGATAAAACTCATTTTTTTCGGCCAATCGTTATCGCAATAATTTTGATCTTCCTATATTTATGAATGGTAATGTACTAGATGAGTCATATACCCTTCACCTTCTATGATTACCTTTTACTTCTGATCTTTCTTTTAAACCGTATATTAAATCCATTGCAAAATTAGCATCTGCTAAGGTTGCATCTCTTTATCGAGCTCAACACTTCCTTACTCTAGATTCTATTCTCTATCTCTATAAATCTCAAATCCGTCCCTGTATGGAATACTGTTGCAATATCTGGGGCAGATCTTCTATTGATGCCCTTTCTCTTTTAGACAAGGTGCAAAAACGCATTGTAAACATAGTTGGACCTGCTTATGCAGCCAATCTCCAACCATTGTCACATCGTCGTGATGTTGCTTCTTTTTCTCTTTTCTACAAATACTATAATTGGCACTGCTCTAAAGCTAGTTTTTTTTCTTTGAACATCAGTTCTTTGGAATTTGCTTCCTTCATCTTGCTTCCCTAATTCATATAATTTGCAATCTTTTAAGTCATCTGTCAATCGTTATCTTGCCCTACAAACTTAATCTTTTCTCTCCCAATAACTTCCAAACTCTTATAGTGGTTGTTCGCAGCCTTGTTGTAAGCGAAGATGTAATATATATTTTTTCTATTATAATTTATATATATATATATAAATTATAATATATAGGCTTTCAATCATTTACTTACTTATCTTAAGATAATGAAATATAAAAAACGTTTAAAGTTGAGAATAGCTTTGATCTTTACTAGTATGATTCTATCGCCAAGTCTCTTGAATGTGATCAATCATTTCTCGATACTAATGTTGCAAAAAGTAGTACATTTTTTATTATGGTTAAATGTTTATTTTTTTTTTTTATAAGGGTAAATTACATAAAAAATTTTGATCTTTAATTATATACATAATGCTCACTTTACAAGTAAACATAATTTACACAAAATTTTTGAATTGAATAAAACACTAAGAAATTGCTCCTATGCCCAATATAACTTACACTAAATTGTCCCATATCAATTACACTAGTGTTATCTTTTGAATTTAGAAATAGAAGTTATTAAATATTGGTGGCTCATCATGCAATGCATTTGAGAAGGGCATGCTTTCAAAGTAAGTATAATTTTACTATAAAAAGAGCATTTTTAATACCGCAATTATATTGCATACTTGACATACATAAATATATACGAATTTCTCAACACTAAATATATAAATATTTAGTGTTTCTTTCCCCTTTATTTTTACATTCTTATCTTAACAATATTTTTTTAAAGGTTAAGATTGCTTTCCTGATTCCTACAGCAAAAAAAAAACTTTAAAATGCTGGTGGCAATATTTTAAAGAGTGCATCTGATCGAAAAGAAAGTGAATGGCGTCAACTGTTCGAAAATTCGATTCTTGGAAATTAACAAGTGGAAGAAGAAGTTTACAAAGTTGTAATTTATAAAACTCAGCACAATTATATTATTAAAAAATTTAAATGATTTATTTTTTTTTTCTTATTCTCAAGAAGTTCTGTAAAAACATAAATTTGAACCTTACGTTTAAGTAAACCCATGTTAGAACACGTATTTTAGACGTCGAAATAAGAACGTCTAAATTAGGTTATTTAAAGACGTCATTTGGCGTTTCCATTTAGCACTAGTTCTGAACGTCCTAGATTCACGTCTTTTAGACGTCTCAAAACACGTCTTTAGTCCGTCCTAAAAAGACGTCCTAATTAGGTCTTAAAAAGACGTCATCTGGCGTTGCCATTTAGAACCAGTTCTGGACGTCCTAAAAAGACGTCCTTTCGACGTCATATGGACGTTTCCGTGCCCGCTGGGTTTACAAAAAAAAAAATTTTAATGTAATTTTTTTAAGGTAAACCTTTTTTTAAGTATTAGTTTAAAAACTAAATTTCTTTTCAAAGAAATATTGTAATAAAATTCAGACAAAAGCTAAGCATAACATTCGGATGTGAAAACGGCTCCTGAACGTTTTACTTAAACATTTTCTGTTTTTCTTTTTACGATGACACCAACTAGCTCCTAGTTTAAAAACCACTTCAAAAAACAATACGGAAATAAAAACCTTAGACTAGCAAGCATTGTTTAATAGCTCTGCTCCATTTCTTTGTCCCTTAACTCCTTAATTTAATTTTAATCAGCTGTTTCAAATCGTAAAATTTAAATTATCTTATTTAAATTTATTCAAAGAAAAACTTATAAACAACTGAATTTCAGATTAGATAGCCATAAAGAATTGTTTAAAAAATGTTATTGATTTTATCAAATAACTTTAAATTAAAACAGAATTTTAATTTTCAATTGTACTTCTTCTTCAATACATAATTTTGTTAGTAAGCAGATCGAACGAAATGGCAACCGAAATCCGCCATTATGTCAAAAATTAAACTTTAAATCTCATGTATCAAATTTTTTTTCACACTTTTCATTATGTTTCAATTACTTTACTATTTGTATATATTATTGATGTAAAAACCATTTTTACAGTAATGAATTACATTTGATTTGATTTTGATGAAGTTACAATATAAGTCGCAAAAAAAAAAAAAAAAAAAAAGAGCAGTAAAAACAGTAAAAAAAAAACCTGGTAGCTAACTGGCAAAAAAAAAAAAAACATTAAATTTTAGATACGAACTATTGCTGTAACAGCATCAATTGCATAAATATATAGTAAACTCCTCTTTAAAAAATAATTTAATGTCTATTTCTATTTTTATATATTTCTGTATAAAAACTTATTTTTTTTATTTTAACCTAATTTAACAAAAAAAAAAGTTTTTAATATACTTTGAAAATAAATTCCCAAACTATAGTTTTGAAAATCCACATTATAAAGACTATCATATTGAGTTTGTTAAACCAAGATTAAGGATTCTTTAATTGGCTGAAAATAAGTTACATTAGGAACAATTTATTGTATTTCACTAATGATAAACTGCTAAATTGAAGGGCTTTGTGCTTAAGAACTTAATTCAAAAAGGAGGTTTTGAGAAAATTAATTGTAATCAGCTGTTTCAAATCGTAACTTTAAAATGTTATATTTCCGATTAAAGTAGATTTTCTCAAAACATTTATTTTGTAATTTAAAAATTTTTTAGCGCTAAGCCCTACAATTTAAACTCATACACGGTTGTTAAACACATATTATACAAGTATAATACATATACAAGTTATTTTATTTTTCAAGAGGATTGTGTAGCAATAGTAAGTCTAAATAAATTGTTAAATAAATTTTCTATGAACAAAAAAGTTTAAATATTGTTGTATGCATACTTTACTGTTTGTTTTATTTATCTACTTTTACCGATAAATTAGTTTTTTTTTATAAAAGACTTAATTTTAATAAATTAAGAAATTTGGCTAGCAAAAGTTTTCAAAGTGTAAATCAATTTAATTATTTCTCTACCTGAGAAGTCAAAGGTCGGTTGTCACATTTTAAATAATGTTCAGGAGAGAGGAAGTAGTAAATGAATTAGTCTTTTTTGGCTTTTGTATTGTTTATTATACTTCTACATATTCATATGTACAAGTATAATAAACAATACATATATTATGCGGTAGTGGTGTAGTGGTAGAGCGCTCGCTTCATAAACGAGTGGTTCGGAGTTCGATCCCCACCACGTCCCTGGTAGTACCGCGCTCAACTCGTTTCTTCGCGCAGCGGCCTTGTTCGTCAAGGTTCGTGTTTCGGAGTTATAGAGTTGAGAGTTAAAAAATTAAAAAAGTATTTCTTTTTTTAATGATTTAAATCAGATTACAAACCAAAATTTTTTTTGTGTCGCAGATAACTTTTATCTGTCTCCATATTATATAATTCTATATAATATGGAGTAAAATGTATTTTTTTTTAAATAACAAATTTTATTTTACAAAATTTACCACTGTCATTTTAATCCATTCCAAATTGAAAAAAAAGTTACGCTGGTTAAATCCAGGGAACGTCCAAAAGATACGTCTTTTGGACGTTCCCTGGCTTTTTAATAAGATTTTAAGCCGATTAAAGCATTCATTAAATACTACTTGTTTGTTATTGATACAGATTTGATAATCTTTTAAATGAAAAAGAAAATCCACAGAATCTTGTCGAACTCTGCATTTTATTTTTTAAAGGTTTAATTTTTTTAGTCTGATTCAATTAATACAAAATGCTTTTTATTAAAAACGTTTCTTAAGCTATTCACTAAATCTAAAATTGCATGTTTGAGTGTTGTGTTTAAAAACCAAGATGTTTATGATTTAAATTCAATAATTATACCTTATAAAAAAATATTAAAACACTTATTAAAATAGTTAAAAAATAGTTAACGATATTGAGTGGTTCCTAAGAAACAAACATTCACTAAATACCGACAAAACAAAATATATACTTTTTAATAAAATAAGTAAATTAAAAAATATAATTCATGAATAACCACCATTGAAATTAATACCACTTTTTTTAACCCTTAAAGGACGGGAAAAAAAGTTACGTTAAGGACGGCTTGGGTATTAAACTACCCCAACTAAAAATATAGGCTTTTATAGAAAACATGTTGAGCTTTTTAACTTAAAATGCGTGCTTTAAACAAAAATATCAATTTTCTCAATGTTTTTTTAAATAATTGTTAAGTGATATTTGATACAATTTATTCAAATAAAAACAAAATATAACTCCTAAATAAGGCAGCTATTGCAAACAATTTTGCTATGAGCTGAACAGAATGGCTACATGATGCACATTGAAGACGGGTTTTTCTGTCTTGAACACGAGGACACATATAGCACCTTTTTATTTGCTGCTCTTGATTTGGTTTATCTTGATTTAATAGGTTATTTTGTACAATTACTTGGCGAAGATTATTATTTGCAACCAATTGTGGAAAATTGTCATTTGCATCAAACTTTTTAATAAGACTTTTTGATAATTCTTTTAAAAAATTCTCTTCTTCTATGAGAAGCTCCATTTTTATAATTTGGGTGAATTGACAAGAATAAAATCAAAGCATTGTATGCTGCAATATTCAAAGTATTACAAAACATTGTAAATGGCCATCGGTTACTTTTTCGGCGACTCGAATAGCACCTGACAACCATGTCTAATGTGTCAACTCCACCTTTATATTTGTTGTAATTTAGAATAATACACGGTTTTTCATTATGTTCCATAACAATGTCATTACTGTGATGGAGGGTTGATAATAATATTACTGCTTTGTTTTTCTTAGGTACATAAGAAACAATAGTAGAGTCATTTTGAAAACCAAAAAAACTGGTCGATGTAAGGCTGGCAATAACTTTTTTGGTATTTCTCCTTTATTTTTTTTAATGGTGCCAGTGTATGTCATTTTACGTCCTAGCAATGCACGTGCAAGATGAATGTTTGTAAAAAAATTATCAGCTGTTATGTGTCTACCACTTCCATTTAAGTGATCGGTTAGTTCAAGAACTACTCGTGTACCTTGTCCAACATCACGTACTCCATTTACTCTACCAATATACGGTTGCAAATTTTATGCAGTAAGAAGTTTCAGCATCACATAATATTCATATCTTCATTCCATACTTTCCTGGCTTAGTATGTATAAATATCTTAAATGGACAACGTCCCCTAAATGTAACTAATTGCTCATCAACAGTAAGATATGCACTTGGATTGTAGTTGCTCTTACATTTATTAGTAAACATTTCCATTATATTTCTCAAAGGTGCAAATTTGTCTTCAAACCGTCTTTCATTTCTTGTTTTTCTCTCATCAAATCGAATGTATCGTTGCAAGTTAACAAATCGATCTCTTTGCATTGAAGTAGAAAATATTGGTATGCCATCTAATTTACTCCAAAGCTCTTTTATGCTTTGATTTTTAGAATAAAACACTCCAGCTAGAAGAAGAACTCCAATAAACTCATAAAGCTCATTTACTGTCGTGTCAACCCATCCTTCTAGTCTAATTCTACGAGCTTCAGCATTAGTGCAATTGACAATGATTCTAATCATTTCTGGTGTTATAAAAAGTTTAAAGGCAGTATCCACACTTTGGCCGCAAACCTGAGCTGCAAACCTTGTTGTGCCAGTTAGTTGTCGAATAATATTGTGTGCACGTGGCTGAGCAGCATTTACAGATTGAAGTTTACTCCAAATTTCCTCACCATTCTTTGAAATCATGTTTTGATTTAAAATGTGATTTTCCTGAACAACTTCTTCATCACTTTGATCAGAGATGATAGCATCTATTTCATCGTCAACTGTAACAATATCTTCTTCATCGTCTGTAAGGTTTTCATCAGCTGAGTCATCACTTGAAGATAAGTCATTTAAACCAAAAATAATACTAGAAGCCTCGACTGCAGCATTTCTTTTTGGGCGACTCATTATATGAATTATACTTATTCTAAAAATAATTTCAGTCTTTATTAAACCAAATATGTGAAAAATATATAACAAACACTGTAAGCATTATTATTTTGTACCAATAATATAAATATTTTTGACATAAAAACAAAATATATGCAACACGAGCAGACTACTGTTGTTACAGTGAGTGTATATATTTAATCAATATATGGTATAATTTACTCATAAAAAAGATAAATAATACCCCATACCTACTAAAAAATAACTAAAACATAAGCAAGTGTTAAAATAAACATGATTTATATAGCTATTTATTGATTCACTAACTAAAAAATGAGAAAACTTGCATGGGGTATAAAATTACCCCAACCGTCTTTAACGTAATTAAATTTTTAACTAACAATATTATTGTCAATTGATTAGTAAAACAAAAACATTTTACACTAAAAACTTCTTTTAATGATAATAAACTAGCTGTAAGCAACCCGTAATACGCGTTGTTAGTAAATAAAATTAAAAAAAAACCGCGTATAGAAAAGCCTAGAAACTACTTTAAAATAGAAAAGCCTAGAAAATGACGTAACTCGACTAATATTAAATTAGCGTATTCATATGATAATAAATAAAAGATGTTCTGAAGTGGCAGTTCAAATACACAAAATTTGTTGATGTGGCAGTTAAAAGTAAACTCTTCTGGGGTAGTAAAATACCCCGCCGTCCTTTAAGAGTTAAAAGGGAAACTTACGTATTTTTTTTTTAAGGATAAAGCCAGATAAAATGTTAAGGTAATATTCACACATAAATAACATCAAAAAAAAACCCTCAAAAACTATAGGAACAATGTTCAATGCTAAAGCTTTTCTAAATATAACATTACTGAAAAAAACTATATTTTATCTTTATTCGCAGTTGCTTTCCTTGTTCTAAAATTGTGTGGCTTAGTAATAGTCATAAAAACTTAAGAAAGGAATAAAAAAAACTTAAGAATAGTCATAAAAACTTAAGAAAGAAAAAAAAAACTTAAAAAACTTAAGAAACAGATTAGTGTTTGTAGCCGCCATAAATTTTACATGCGAACCACTTCTTTATTCGCGCGGTATTTTAAATTTGCATTATATGAATATACAAGTTATATTCTTTATGTTTAAAACAAAAATGTGATTTCCTCAAAAAATCTTTTAATCAATTTTTTTTAAATTTAGCAACGTAACTTAGCAACGTAAGTTATGCAAGTTATGCATTTTTTCATTAAATTATAATTCGCAACCTTTATAAGATCACTTAATATTTATTCCCAACATTTTCAAATCTCTATTTTAAAATTTTGCGAATAAATATTAGGTGATCTTATAAAGGTAACAAATATTTATGCAAATTTAATAATAACTATTAAAAATATTATTTGCTATTAAATTTACTAATTATTTACAACAAAAAAAAAAAAAATCAAAAGTTTTATTTTCATTTTTAGATATTAACGCGGAAATTTCTTTTTACATTTTAAAATAGTGTTGAAATAAATAAGCTCTCAGGTCACGATTTATGACTTGAATTATAACTATGATTTTTAACTTGTCCTTAAAGAGCTGAATGAAATACACATCTCCAATTTCTTTTCCCAATTTATATTCTTTAAAAGTTAAAAATAAATACAATTTGCGTAATGAAAATTTTATTCTTCAACCAGTTTTCAAAACTAATTTTGGTAAGTTTTGCATTTCATTTAGAGGAGCATTTTTATGGAACAAAGTAGTATTAAAACTTTTTGATTTTTCTCAAGAATGGAGCTTTCTTTAAAAGAAAGTTGAAAAAAATTCTTTAAATTTAAAAATTCTTTTAAATTTAAATTTCTTTAAAAGAAAGTTGAAAAAAAT